AATACATGGTTTCAGGACCTTTGAAGTCTAACTTTTACTGTACCTTGCACACTGTCGTATAGCTTGCAGACACTGTATCTCTTCATCTGCTTCTCTCTTATCCACAGTAACAACCCACAGTCTTTCCATTTCTGATAATTTTTCTGCCTTTTTTTTTTCACTAGCTTAGATTCATCAGCCACTTTAATATTCTTTACTTCTATTGCTTGATAATAGGAGATGATTGTTTGTGGAAATCTATACTCTCACACCAATGCATAATTTCCTTGTTTGTCTTCAGGGAAATTGCTTGTTTGCTACACACTTTAGAGCTCATAAGGATTTGGTAATGCAAAAGATGGTATAATTAAAATGCAAATCTAGTTATCAGGGTTAATGTGGAAAACACACATGGTAGCTTTAAACTGAAGAGTAAACGAACTGTAGTATGTTATAAACTCTGCTACTAGCTGTGATGCTGCCATAAAAACATTCATACCTGTTGCTGATTGGCTGTTGAGCTACCTTCTCAGACCCCTCCCCAGTCCTATTTGCTCAGATGAAGTCTTAGAGGCAAGGTACCTCATTGCTGGTTGGCCGAGGCCGATCCATACTTGCTGACCATAATAAAGTAGTAGTAATAATACAAGTGTGTGATAAAACTATTGCAGAACTAATTGACATCATTGGCATACTACTATATATAGAAAGCCCCTGGTTATGCAGAACATTTCAAGCAACTTGGGTTAATCTTGTTCCCCAGGATGTGACCCCATAGCAGTCCTGCCATTGTATACATATTGTGTCTCTAGTTTTTCATTGCAACTCGTAACTAAATTCCTCAAGGGTAAATCATAACTAAAAATTATTGTATCTTCAGCACATCATAACTTGAACACTGTATTTGTTCCAGGCCCATGGCAGCTGTACAAAGTTCATTGAGATCATTAGCACTTTATTTACACATAATAAGCCTTGGTATGCTTTGCAGGCCATGCTGCTTTCATATAATCAATACCTTGTATATCACATATACAGAATTACCAATAGAAATAAGACTGAGGAATAACAAATCTGCACAAAGAGGGAATTCTGTGTTATGATTTGTAAAAAAAAAAAAATCAGGACTATATGGTATTATCACTCGGAAAGCCCATATTTTTGAAAGATACATGACTGAATTTTTATTTTACTCTGGTATTTTCTTCAGCATATTGTGTGTCAATCTGCACTGAGGAGAATCCCAGAGTAAGGACCAAAATCATAATTTTTTTTTTCTCCCACAAGTTTTAAAAATGAGGCTGTTTATAATGTTTTAGTAGTGCATTATCTCCTGGTTGCTGATGGTTGGTGATCGTGTCTGCCATTGTTAGGTTAGTGTGTGATGCAGCATTTATATTGATTAGTCATGAAAATACGAAATTTTTGCATTATTCAGTGTCCTGTATTTTGTTATATTTATATCTTATATCCAACTTGATATTTATGCCACTGTGCTCTCACATGGTACTTGTAAATTCTTTCTTGTGAAAGAATCATAAGTACTGTATTAGTGCAAATGTAATCACTGAAGTGTAAATTTAATTGTGTAATTCATTATCTGAACAAGAGATGTGTAAGAAGTAGTTTATACGGTATTTTGAGTTTGGGGGGTGAGCTCTTAACTCTAATTCTTGCCTCTATGCTTGGATGTGAAATAGCTTTTTCATAACTACTTTTGAATTGCTAGGAGTCTTACTTCACTGACAACTCAAAAATAACTTGCACATACGAGAAAGAAACTTGTTACGACGCTTCGGTCTGTCTTGGACCATTAACAAGTCACAGCAGAAGAGCAAAGGCAAGGGAGCTGATATATATACGAGAAGGGGGGGGGGGGGCAGGGATGGGAGATAGAGAGGAGGTACAAGGAATATGAAGTACTGATATGTAGTAGTGGTAGAGGTAGTTGTGGAAGTGGGGGGTAGTAGTAGGAAGTTCAGAGTATTGGTAATGACACAAGAGTCAGTGGAGTGTAGCAAGGTAATAGTAGTAATAAGAGGTAATGGTAGTAATGGAGGACATCTAAGGATGTGATAAAGGAGCACTGTAGGATAGCTAATGGCCTTTGTGGGTTATTTGTGTATTGTTTGTAGGAGTGAGGAAGAGCCAGTTGTGAGTGTGGGGAAAGTTCATGAAGCAATAGGTAAAATGAAAGGGGGTAAGGCAGCCGGGATTGATGGGATAAAGATAGAAATGTTAAAAGCAGGTGGGGATATAGTTTTGGAGTGGTTGGTGCAATTATTTAATAAATGTATGGAAGAGGGTAAGGTACCTAGGGATTGGCAGAGAGCATGCATAGTTCCTTTGTATAAAGGCAAAGGGGATAAAAGAGAGTGCAAAAATTATAGGGGGATAAGTCTGTTGAGTATACCTGGTAAAGTGTATGGTAGAGTTATAATTGAAAGAATTAAGAGTAAGACGGAGAATAGGATAGCAGATGAACAAAGAGGCTTTAGGAAAGGTAGGGGGTGTGTGGACCAGGTGTTTACAGTGAAACATATAAGTGAACAGTATTTAGATAAGGCTAAAGAGGTCTTTGTGGCATTTATGGATTTGGAAAAGGCGTATGACAGGGTGGATAGGGGGGCAATGTGGCAGATGTTGCAGGTGTATGGTGTAGGAGGTAGGTTACTGAAAGCAGTGAAGAGTTTTTACGAGGATAGTGAGGCTCAAGTTAGAGTATGTAGGAAAGAGGGAAATTTTTTCCCAGTAAAAGTAGGCCTTAGACAAGGATGTGTGATGTCACCATGGTTGTTTAATATATTTATAGATGGGGTTGTAAGAGAAGTAAATGCGAGGGTCTTGGCAAGAGGCGTGGAGTTAAAAGATAAAGAATCACACACAAAGTGGGAGTTGTCACAGCTGCTCTTTGCTGATGACACTGTGCTCTTGGGAGATTCTGAAGAGAAGTTGCAGAGATTGGTGGATGAATTTGGTAGGGTGTGCAAAAGAAGAAAATTAAAGGTGAATACAGGAAAGAGTAAGGTTATGAGGATAACAAAAAGATTAGGTGATGATATCATGTGGGAGTTCGACACGTGGATTAGGTAAGAAATACTCACGTAGGCTGTTATTACGTATAATTGCAGATGAGCAAGGAGATAGGTACGGTGGCAAGGGCTCTCTCCACATATCTGCAATTATACGTAATAACAGCCTACGTGAGTATTTCTTACCTAATCCACGTGTCGAACTCCCACATGATAAATGGTGGCAGCGGCTGTGCTTAGAAAAAGTTCAAATTTTCACGAGTGTCACCAGTGGTGAGAACATAGAATGGGTTGCAGAAAATGGGGCGTTGATGTGACGGTTCAGTGAGTCAACATTGAACTGCATTGTTTGTGCTCTACTGACAAGGCAGCTAGTGTGATACGTAATGGTTTCTGTGGCTCACTGAACCGTCACATCAATGCCCCATTTTCTGCAACCCATTCTATGTTCTCACCACTGGTGACACTCGTGAAAATTTGAACTTTTTCTAAGCACAGCCGCTGCCACCATTTATCATGTGGGAGTTCGACACGTGGATTAGGTAAGAAATACTCACGTAGGCTGTTATTACGTATAATTGCTGATATGTGGAGAGAGCCCTTGCCACCGTACCTATCTCCTTGCTCACAATGAAAGATTGGATATCAGATTGGAGGGAGAGAGTATGGAGGAGGTGAACATGTTCAGATATTTGGGAGTGGACGTGTCAGCGGATGGGTCTATGAAAGATGAGGTGAATCATAGAATTGATGAGGGAAAAAGAGTGAGTGGTGCACTTAGGAGTCTGTGGAGACAAAGAACTTTCTCCTTGGAGGCAAAGAGGGGAATGTATGAGAGTATAGTTTTACCAACGCTCTTATATGGGTGTGAAGCGTGGGTGATGAATGTTGCAGCGAGGAGAAGGCTGGAGGCAGTGGAGATGTCATGTCTGAGGGCAATGTGTGGTGTGAATATAATGCAGAGAATTCGTAGTTTGGAAGTTAGGAGGAGGTGCGGGATTACCAAAACTGTTGTCCAGAGGGCTGAGGAAGGGTTGTTGAGGTGGTTCGGACATGTAGAGAGAATGGAGCGAAACAGAATGACTTCAAGAGTGTATCAGTCTGTAGTGGAAGGAAGGCGGGGTAGGGTCGGCCTAGGAAAGGTTGGAGGGAGGGGGTAAAGGAGGTTTTGTGTGCGAGGGGCTTGGACTTCCAGCAGGCATGCGTGAGCGTGTTTGATAGGAGTGAATGGAGACAAATGGTTTTTAATACTTGACGTGCTGTTGGAGTGTGAGCAAAGTAACATTTATGAAGGGATTCAGGGAAACCGGCAGGCCGGACTTGAGTCCTGGAGATGGGAAGTACAGTGCCTGCACTCTGAAGGAGGGGTGTTAATGTTGCAGTTTAAAAACTGTAGTGTAAAGCACCCTTCTGGCAAGACAGTGATGGAGTGAATGATGGTGAAAGTTTTTCTTTTTCGGGCCACCCTGCCTTGGTGGGAATCGGCCAGTGTGATAATAAAAATAATAATAATAAATAGTCATGGTTTTATGCCTTTTTATTCTTGGTGTATGGTACAATTCGTTCCACTAATTTACTTTTCTGTAATTCAAAGTGTTTTGGGATATTTCTGTAGAGCACTTAAGTATGTCATTTCCATCTTTATTATGTTTTAGATTAATTACTGGTGAGAAGTCCATCACTATACCTTGTGTATCCTCTAGAGTATTTTGTATGTCTTGATAATATTCTCTATTCTTTGTTGCATGTTGTGAGCTTGCTTCCATTTCCTATTATGGTTATGAAACAGTTAAACTTTCTGCCTCAGAAGTGGTACCACAGAACTGTGATGATGCTATCTGTATGAAATTTCAGTAAAGTCGGTCTGAAACTTTCTTTGCTATTTTATTTTCAGACTCGTCTTTCATAATTTGTACCAAACATGACATGTATTTTATTTAAATTTTGTCCTCGTCTACACCCATATCAGTTAATATCATTTTCCTTCAGGTTCAACACTCCAATGCAAAGAATGCTGTCCTTTTTGAAGCTATTAGTATAATTATTCACTCCGACAGGTAAGTTTTCAATAAAATTAAATTCTTCTTTTTCCTTTCTTCACCTCCTCCTCCTCCTCTTTTCTTTTTCTTTTTTTTTTTTTACAATGTTATAGCTGATTATCCTGTACATATATTTAATTTGGATTTTAAAATGCTCTTGCACCATATTTAAATTATAATATTTATAATATAAGAAGATATAATTAAAAAATATTGTAGAATTGCAAAAGTATTTTTGTTTAACAAAAACAGTGAGCCCAACTTACTGGTGCGGGCTTGTAATCAGTTGGGTCAGTTCCTTTCTCATCGTGAGACTAATCTTCGGTACCTTGCCCTGGAGACCATGTGTCTTCTGGCCACCTCTGAGTTCTCCCATGAAGCTGTCAAGAAACACCAAGAAACTGTTATCAATGCTCTCAAGGTAAGAATGAGTTTTAAGGGCATGGCTCTAATTTGTTTAAATATGGAGAAAATGTGACCTTTACTCTTTTCAAGGTTTAAGTTTTCTTTGCATAAAATAAGCTATATTTGTGTCTTGTCATGAATTTTTTATGAAGAAATGTTATGGACAATTATCATAATAGAATATTTTTTCTTCTTCGTTTCTCCCATTCCTCTCGAGCATTTTCATAATTTCCTTTAACTTTTTTTTTTTTCTCAACACTTCGGCTGTCTCCCATTGAGGTAGGGTGATCTGACAAAGAAAATACTTTCACTATCGCTCATTCAATCACTGTCTTGCCAGAAGTGCACTAATATTACAGTTCAGATGACCATTCAAACCGTAACATCATCCCCACCCTTCCTTCAGGGTACAGGTACTGTACTGCCACATCTGGACCCATGTGTCTAATTGGTTGCCCTAAATTCCTTTAGGAATGTTACTTTGCCCTCGCTCTAGCATGTCAGATTCTAACGAACACTTGCCTCCACTCATTTCTAACCCTGCCCATACAAGCATGATAGATGTCTAAGCCCTTATCACTCAAAACCACCACTATCCTATCCATCCAACCTTTCCTAGGACATACCCTATCCATCCTTCCCTCCACCTCAGATTTACACACCCTCCTAGACATCATATTTTTATCTACATCCTCTTTAACTCTTTCGGGGCGGGTCCTGTAGTTCTACGGCTTTGAAGCACAGGTCGGTTTTGTTGTTCTAAGCCACGAGCTCAGCTTGCTCAGGTAAGCTGTGAGTGGTAAATTTGGGCCTAGATATGAGAGAATGGGGTCTATGCAGTAAATGTACACCATATAAGAAAATCCTGCAGCCAGCAGTGCATAATGGGGGGGAGAAAACTTTGACTGTTTTTGGTTTAAAACAGAGACTTTGCTGTGTATATTTTATTGTTGTATTCTTTGTTTTTTCGTCTTGTATGATAGAATGGAAGATATATTACAAAAAATAGAGATGATTTTGATTGACTTCAAGACTGAAAGTAGCTTGAAATTTACCTCAAAGTAGTGGAAATTTTTTATTTTTGCCAATATTCCAGAGTACACAAATTGTCACGCTTTCAATATGCGTCCACCTAGTTAGTCTAATGTGTGTTCACAAATGTGCTGTCATTATTTATACAGTTATTACAATAATGCATAACAGTAAATAATGCATAACAGTAAATCTTCTATTGCATGTGTGAATAAAAATTCAAAGTGGCTTGAGGGTGTATCTGATGAACAGAGGAAATGTTTGTGCCAGAAATGTCTACGTTGTTTATTCCGGACCCCTATTTTGAAATTGGCAATTTGATTGTGTGAAATTGGCTAAATTACTGATTTCTAACCACTTTATTAGGAAGTTGAAATAGGTAAATGGGTGGTTTCTTGTACTCTGATAAAAGGAATGTTAGTGAAATAGCTATGAGTTCGGTTGACTGGAACAGTGGAATTGGCTGAAAATAAGACTCAGTAAGTGAAATCACTGATGCATGAATATCGCTGTGAACGTTAAATTTACGAGAGCGCAATTACGCAAGTTTAGCATCAGATTTTGTACTTTTTGGTTTCATTACCTTTGGGAAAAGTTTCTTTTATCATTTCAGAAGTGTCTGTCTGTCTATCTCTCTATATATATGTATCTCTCTGTCTCTTGCCTCTCTCTGTCTCTCTATTTCTATTTAATCTAATCTATCTATCTCTATCTCCCCCCCCCTCCATACCCTCTGATAATCACACTGATCATTGCCCTCAAATATGACCTCTACTACCTTCAGCCTCGTCCTTACTGCAACATTCACAACCCATGCTTCACACTCGTACAACTGTGTGTTTGTACCACTATACTCTGGTACCTTCTCTTTTTGCCTCTATAGGTAAAGTTCTTTGCCTCCACAGATGCCTTAATTAATGCACTACCCTCCCTTTTTGTCTGTCAGTTCTGTGGTTCACCTCAACTCTCATAGACACATCAGCCAACAGGTCCACTCCCAAATTTCTGATTAAATTTTCTTCCTACCTGCTCCCTCTATCCAATGTGATATTTGATGCCTACCACCTGTTCAATCAGTTGCAACATTTGCCATATTGCTCTCATATCTACCTATCATATGTCATTTCTAAATCCCTAAATGCAATGAAAAGTTCCTTACCTTTATCCATGTATTGCTCACTTGCATACTACAATGTAAGCACTAGGTCTACACATCCCTTTAATTCATATATTGAAAAAATGCACCAACCCTTCCAAATCTATCCTTTGCTTACTTTTAACCTGTCTTAATCACATCCACTTCAGCTGCTTTTCCCACTCAACTTTTAATGCTGTTTTTGTACAAAATGTATTGCAACATATTAATGGATATTGCAGTTGGATATAATGTGCCATTACTCTGTAGCCCAGTATATCCAGTATTTTGTTTCCTCTTGTATAAAATAAGATCCTCACTTGCTCTTTCTAATTATGTAGGAATTTATTGTAGTTGTATTTATGGTTATTTAATCTTTATTCAGGTTTCATTAGTTTTAACTGTAACAGTACCATAGCTAAATTACTGCCTTAATTAATTAAGCCCACACATTGAAAATAAATATTATAGTCGGTCGTGAACTACTAACAAGTCACAGTAGCATAAACACTGGCTGAAGTGATAGATAATTAGGAGCTATTGTCAGTCAAGTCATGGTTTTGAAGATTAGAACATTTAAGAATGTACTGGGAGAGGGCAACTTTTATTTAGTTGCTTGCAAACTCCATACTACATGTTCTTTTCTCTAGAACGTATATGGCGATTGAAGCGTGTCTTATTTTTTCCAGTTCTGACAGCTTATGGTTTCACCATTGTTCCTCTTCACATGCAAGTTTTAAGTGTCAGAACAGACATCAAGCAGTTTCGATTCTCATTTTGAGTGCTCATTGCAGAAGTTTTTATATAAAATATTTTGCTGCATTTTTCACATAGTATGTGCCTGTGACCAAAAAATGATTATTTAACCAGGAATAAACTTTCATTTTTTCCAATGAACTGGCCGTCTCCCACTGAGGCAGGGTGACCCAGAGAGGGTACCGACACTACAGTTCAAAACTGAAGGTGTCCCCACCCCTCCTTTAGGGTGCAGTCACTATACTTCCCACCTCCAGGATTCATGCTTGGCTAACTGATTTCCCTGAATCATTCATAAATGTTACCTTGCTTACACTCCAGTAGCATATAAAATCATAAAAACCATTTGCCTCCATTCACTTCAAACAGGCATATTTTTATTGTAAGTGTTTGCTTTTTTTTTTTTATTTTTTTTTATTTTATAATGCAGTGCATACAGTATGATTTTATTTATTTCCAGACAGAGCGAGATGTAAGTGTACGTCAAAGAGCTGTGGATCTACTATATGCAATGTGTGACAGAAGTAATGCAGAAGAGATTGTGCAAGAAATGCTTAATTATCTGGAAACTGCTGATTATTCCATACGTGAAGAGATGGTAAGGCTTTGCCTGATAGGCTAAAATTTTGTATGCATGTATCTAAATTTTCCAAGAAAACTGTAGTTGGAACAATAGACGCTGGGTAGGTTGTGCAGGGAGGGTTATGTAATTCATAATTACACTAAGTAATAACACATGTCTATGCCTTAAACAGTCATTAACCTATGCTAGCTGTATTTATACATTTGTTGAATGTTGGTTGGTGGACACTTATGTAGTGGAGTCAGGCCACAGGCTGCCATTGTGGTTCATAAGTGCCACATCACCCATATCTACACACAAATACAGCAATGAGAGCAAGGAATAGAAGGTAAGATAACTCTTGTCAGTTTTTACCCAATTTCATAAAGCAATGTTGTGAAGTGATAAAGGTGATTTGTTGTGGGTGGTGTTGAGAGTCATTCATGCTGATGCTTCCAGTTTTGTGGAAAGAAAATGCTCTATAGTTAATAAGCTCTTCTAAATAGAAAAACCACTTTGGCAAAATATATTGAAAATAAAAAATATACAGTTGTTGCACAAGTGCCTGATTCATCAGCTTGTCAATATTTTATATCAGTAATGTTATGAAAGGAATACCCAGTCATCAACAGCTGGCTTCTCCCAGGCCTTAGAAATGGGAAGTGATGGTTGTAGGTAATGCTGGTGATTGTGTTTTTAGCTAATAAGAATGCTACCTGCCAACACTAACATGATCTTTTAACCCTTTCAGGGTCCAAAGGCCAAATTTCAAAGTGCACATCAGTGTATTTCAATAAAATTTATTAGGTTGCTTTTCATTTATTTTTTTCTATTAAACCCTAATGAGAGAAGAGTTAGGAATGTTTTCATAAAAAAGTGTTAAACCAATGGAAAATCACACAGCCCTGAAGTTTTAAGTCACCACCAGCATTTAAACCAAAGAAAATGATGGACTATCTTGTGACTATATTCAAGAGACCACAAACACAATCCAGAGCATCAATCTCTTCTATGCCCCTCTTCCCCTTCACCTGTCCAAAGATATGATAGCTTCTGAGTAAGATGGGTGAGGGATGACATGACATTCTCTCTACAGATGCCTTGGCACACCACCCACCCTTTACCTTCATCAGTTTTTGGGTTTACCTCATCCTTCATAAACCCATCTGCTGACAAGTCTACTCCCAAATATCTGAACTTAATTTCTTCCATACCCCCTCCTTCCAATGTGATATTCAATTTTTCTTAACTCATTGGATACCCTCACAATGTGGTCCTCAAACAATTAGAGAAATTAAAACCTAACAAATCCCCAGGCCCTGATGAACTGTTTGCAAGGGTTTTAAAGGAATGTAAAGAGGAACTTGGTATACCTTTGGCTAATCTTTTCATTATGTCACAGACCAGGCCGTGGGGGAGTTGACCCCCCAAACTCTCTCCAGGTAAACTCCAGGTAAACAAACTGGCATAGCACCAGACAAGTGGAAAATGGCAAATGTAATACCCATTTGCAAGGCAGATGACAGGTCCTTAGCTTTGAACTACAGACCAAAAAGCCTTGCTTCCATAGTTGGTAAAGTTATGGAATCGATAATTGCCGAAGAAATTCGTAGCCATCTTGAAAGGCATAAATTCATTAATGAATCTCAGCACGGTTTTACAAAGGGGCGTTCCTGTCTTGCGAATTTACTAACTTTATTCACTAAGGTGTTTGAGGAGGTACATCATGGTATTGAATATGATAGTGTATATGGACTTCAGTAAGGCTTTCGATAAAGTTCCACATCAGAGGCTGTTGAGAAAACTTAGGCACATGGAATAGGAGGAGAAATTTTTCCTGGGCAGAGGCATGGTTGACAGATAGGCAGCAGAGAGTTTGCATAAATGGGGAGAAATCAGAATGGGGGCACGTCACAAGTGGTGTTCCACAGGAGTCAGTGTTGGGCCCCTTGTTGTTCACAATCTACATAACCGACATAGATGAGGGAATAAATAGCGACATAAGCAAATTTGCTGATGACGCCAAAATAGGCCGTCCAAATCATTCTAATGAAGACATTAGAGCACTCCAGGATGATTTGAATAGACTGATGCAGTGGTCCTAGAAGTGGCAGATGCAGTTTAATATAGACAAATGCAAAGTTCTAAATGTCAAAGGAAAATAACCATGCCACATATAAACTAAATAATGTGGATCTTAATATTACGGATTGCAAAAAGGATTTAGGAGTTCTTGTTAGCAGTAATCTGAAACCAATACAACAGTGCATAAATGTTCGCAATAAAGCTAACAGAATCCTTGGCTTCATAGCAAGAAGTATAAATAATAAAAGTTCTCAGGTTGTCCTTCATCTCCTTAGTATATCTTTGGGTAGGCCTCATTTAGATTATGCTGCGCAGTTTTGGTCACCGTATATAAATGCACTGGAAAACATACAAAGGAGGATGACAAAGTTGATCCCATGTATCAGAAATCTTCCCTATGGGGTTAAACTGACAACCCTGAATCTGCGCACTCTAGAAAGGCGTAGAATTAGGGGGGATATGATTGAGGTGATGAGGGTATCAAATGATTTAGATAAAGAGAAACTGGATATCAAATTGGGGAGGATTAGTATGGAAGAAGTGAATGTTGAAGTGTCGAGTTGACGTGTCAGCGGATGGATTTATGAAGGATGAGGTTAATCATAGAATTGATGAAGGAAAAAGGCAAGTGGTGCGTTGAGGTATATGTGGAGACAAAAAATGTTATCTATGGAGGCAAAGAAGGGAATGTATGAAAGTATAGTAGTACCAACACTCTTATATGGGTGTGAAGCTTGGGTTGTAAATGCTGCAGTTGGAGGCAGTGGAGATGTCCTGTCTAAGGGCAATGTGTGGTGTAAATATGCAGAAAATTCGGAGTGTGGAAATTAGGAGAAGGTGTGGAGTTAATAAAAGTATTAGTCAGAGGGCTGAAGAGGGGTTGTTGAGGTGGTTTGTTCATTTAGAGAGAATGGATCAAAGTAGAATGACATGGAGAGCGTATAAATCTGTAGGGTAAGGAAGACTGGGAAGGGGTCGTCCTTGGAAAGGTTGGAGGGAAGGGGGTAAAGGAGGTTTTGTTGGCGCAGGGCTTGAACTTCCAGCAAGCGTGCATAAGCGTGTTAGATAGGAGTGAATGGAGACGAATGGTATTTGGGACCTGACAAGCTGTTGGAGTGTAAGCAGGTAATATTTAGTGAAGGGATTCAGGGAAACCGGTTATTTTTATATAGCCGGACTTGAGCCCTGGAAAAGGGAAGTACAATGCCTGCACTTTAAAGGAGGGGTTTGAGATATTGGCAGTTTGGAGGGATATGTTGTGTATCTTTATTATGTATATGCTTCTAAACTGTTGTATTCTGAGCACCTCTGCAAAAACAGTGATTGTGTGAGTGAGGTGAAAGTGTTGAATGTTGAAAGTATTTTCTTTTTGGGGATTTTCTTTCTTTTTGGGTCACCCTGCCTCAGTGGGAGATGGCCAACTTGTTAAAAGAAAAAAAGTGATTGAGGTGTATAAATGGAAAACAGGAATTAATAAAGGGGATGTAAATAGCATGCTAAAAATATCTAAATACACAGGAAAAATTCTGATTCAGGAAGGATGTAGGAAAGCACTGGTTAAGTAATAAAGTTGTGGATGAGTGGAACAAACTCCCGAGTACCGTCATAGCAGCTAAGACTTGTAGTTTTAAAAATAGGTTAGATAAATACATGAGTGGGTGTGAGTTAGGTCCAACTAGCTTGTGCTACTAGGTCAGATGCCGTGCTCCTCCCTTAAGTGACGTGTCTGACTTCACTAGGTCAGTGAGGTCAGACGGTCAGTGAGCTTATTAAGGTCACTAGGTCAGTGAGCCTAAGCCGGTGGGAGAACTGGACCTGCCTCACATAGGCCAGTAGGCCTGTTGCAGTGTTCCTTCTCTCTTATGTTCTTATCACCTTACCTAACTCATTTGATACCTTCATCACATTCACTTCCTCCATACTTCCTTCCTCCAATCTGATATCCAATTTTTCAGTAACTTAATTTTTTGTTATCCTCAGCACCTTGCTCTCTCCTATGTTCACTTTCAACTTTCTTTCTTTACACGCCCTTCCGAACTCGTCCACCAGCCTTTGCCACTTCTCTTTAGAATCTCCTAAAAGCACAGTATCATCAGTAAAAATTAACTGTCAACTCCCATTTTGTATTTGATTTCTCTCCCCAACACCCTCCCTAACATTTACTGCATATACAACACCCGCTATAAATGTTAAACAACCATAGTGACATTATATTACAATTATAATAAGGATCGTAATGATTTGGATTTTGTAACTTTTGAGCATTTGCTCTTTTGAGAAAAATTCAAGTGTTCGCACATCAAACCATAAATACAACAACAACAACAACAACAACAAAAATACTGAAGTTTATATTCAAGAGTGGCAGTATGATCATGAGGATCACTTCCTCCCCCACCCCTCCATTTGCACTGACTATTGAATCAAAGTATATTCTCTGAAATTCTGCATTAGAGATGCTTTCCAAGAGGAATGCTGTAATGGATTGGTAACAGATTCTTCTGTGGTTCTTCTATTATTATTATTAACACACTGGCCGATTCCCACCAAGGCAGGGTGGCCCGAAAAAGAAAAACTTTCACCATCATTCACTCCATCACTGTCTTGCCAGAAGGGTGCTTTACACTACAGTTTTTAAACTGCAACATTAACACCCCTCCTTCAGAGTGCAGGCACTGTACTTCCCATCTCCAGGACTCAAGTCCGGCCTGCCGGTTTCCCTGAACCCCTTCATAAATGTTACTTTGCTCACACTCCAACAGCACGTCAAGTATTAAAAACCATTTGTCTCCATTCACTCCTATCAAACACGCTCATGCATGCCCGCTGGAAGTCCAAGCCCCTCGCACACAAAACCTCCTTTACCCCCCCCTCCAACCTTACCTAGGCCGACCCCTACCCCGCCTTCCTTCCACTACAGACTGATACACTCTTGAAGTCCTTCTGTTTTGCTCCATTCTCTCTACATGTCTGAACCCCCTCAACAACCCTTCCTCAGCCCTCTGGACAACAGTTTTGGCAATCCCGCACCTCCTCCTAACTTCCAAACTACGAATTCTCTGCATTATATTCACACCACACATTGCCCTCAGACATGACGTCTCCACTGCCTCCAGCCTTCTCCTCGCTGCAACATTCATCACCCATGCTTCACACCCATATAAGAGCGTTGGTAAAACTAGACTCATACATTCCCCTCTTTGCCTCCAAGGACAAAGTTCTTTGTTTTAAATAAGATAATTATTAAATATTTAAAAAACAAGTAATTGAGTAAAAAATATTAATGTAAATGTTAATAAGAATTGCTATGATATTTTATACAATATTTGTAGCTTATTAAGGGATTAGCTGAAATAATGTTCACATGTGCCCTTGAAAACCCTGGCAACTTTCTTCCAGAGTAAGCATTATTATCTTGTAAAAAATGTATTATATGTATATGCAGTATTAGTACATAGTTTCTTAATTAAAAAAATTGTGTGTTTAAAAGTATGTAAACATTTCTTAGGTGCTAAAAGTGGCCATTCTGGCAGAGAAATATGCCCAGGACTACACGTGGTATGTGGATGTCATTCTTAACCTCATACGTATTGCTGGTGACTATGTGTCAGAGGAAGTGTGGTACCGGGTCATACAAATAGTTGTTAATAGAGAGGATGTCCAAGGTTATGCTGCAAAGACTGTTTTTGAGGCAAGTTCAAAATTTGGCTTTTGTTGTTAATTGTGGAATGAGTAAAATTTTGGCTTGCAAATTACTAGTGAATGTGTTTATTAATCTTTTCTACTGCACTCCATATCCCTGTGGAAGATTACTAATGTACTGTACACAGTTGTGATGAATTTATTTTTTTTAACTCGTAGGCAGTTTCCCACCAAAGGCAGTAAAGTAGATGAAAGTAAATGCATGATCTAAAAAGCAGACTGTTGCTTAACTTTTGGAAAGATGACCAGAGAATGAGTGATTGTGAGTGTTATCTTGGTCACCCTGCCATGGTGGGAATTGATTGTTAAAAATAAAATAGTCAAGTGACATGTTAAATTTAAAATTTCATAGGATAAATTTTTGAAAAATGCACTCTGTACTTTATTTTTATGAACTTGTTAGCTAGAACATAGTACTGACATTCAATGAGTATTTAAATGTAAATGTTGAAAATTGTAAAGGTAATGATTTCCATTAATCAGCATAGAATATTGATTGGTTTACATATTTTATGATTTGTTGAACAGTCTCATTTGTCATGCAAGTAGGATTTTCAATATACTGCATCTGAATTTAGTTGCAACATGGCATTCTTGTCATTTTGAAGACACGAGTAACATACACTCGAACTCATAATTGGCCTGTTTATTGTTACATAATTACTAAAGAATTCTTCTGTTGGTGAGGTAAGCTAATTTAAAACTTTTGAATTATTAGGGTCAAGCCATGCTGCATTAATTTAGAGAGATTAATTCTATTAATTAAATTTACAATTAATAATTGATCATTCAATTTGAAATTCACATACTCAGTGTGACCAGTATCCAGTCTCACTTGCAACCCAGTGAAGATCATCTTGAGTTCCAGGACCAGGACATGACTCATAGTATTTTGAAAAACCTTGGGTATTAGATTTCATGAGTATTTTTGGGAGTAAATATGGCCAGTGGAGCTGCAGGCAGTTGTAGATTTCATTTACATTGAGTACTTGTATTATTTTTGTTTAGAAAAAATGCAGGGGTCTTGTGTTATTTTTTGGTTAAAAATAAAATACATTGAAATTCCTTTGCTTATGATTTATTTATGAATCTGCAGATGTGCTGAATTTGTTTGAGGTTGTTTTTATGAATACTGGGATAGAATGAGAAATGTGAGAGGGAAAAAGCTGTAGAAATCTGCTTTAGACACCTTAGGTGTAGGGTAGAGGGCAATTATCAGAGATTAATTTTAGACACTTGTAAATAGATTTTTGTAAACATCTGCATCTAAAGTAGTTATTTTATTTTTATAGGCACTGCAAGCCCCTGCCTGCCATGAAAACATGGTCAAAGTTGGGGGATACATCTTGGGTGAATTTGGCAATTTAATTGCTGGTGATACCAGATCTGCTCCGGCTGTTCAGTTCCAGCTTCTACACTCTAAGGTAAAGCTCAAGGCACTGTGAATGTAATTATCCTCTACTTAAGTATTAGTGTTGCAAAAAAAAAAAAAAAACTTATCAAGGTCTTCAACTTAATCTTCAGTATATAGGAAGTTTGAATGATATTGTTTTACTTGATTGCATTTCTCATCACATTTTTCATTACAGTACCACCTGTGTTCTGCAGCCACACGTGCTCTGCTGCTCACTACATACATAAAGTTCATCAACCTTTTCCCAGAGATCAAGTCACAAATTCAGGATGTCCTTAAGTCTAATTCTAACCTGAGGTCATCTGATGCAGAGTTGCAGCAGAGAGCGTCTGAATACCTCCATCTTTCTGTGACCACCACTACGGATGTTTTGGTAAAGCATTTACATAATTTTTTTTTTATCACAAGTTCACTAATTTAGTTAGATCTCTTGGCATTCATTATAATGTTGAATTATTAAAGTACTTCACCTTAACTTGAATTGTATTTTGATGCACTCATTCATTCCAGGCCACAGTGTTAGAAGAGATGCCACCATTTACTGAAAAAGAGTCATCCATCTTGGCAGTACTGAAAAAGAAAAGTGGTCGGATGTCCGCACAAGAAGCTCAGAGAGAAGCTCGGGTACAGGCGCGGGAAGGTAATGCAGCGCCGGCAACAGAAAAAGCCCAAAATGCCCAGGTACATTATTGTATTGAACAATCTTGTTTTTGGTGAGAGATGACAGTTGTTGTAAAAACAGATTAAATGCAGACTTTTATTAGTTTAATTTCAAATTAAGTAAGGAAAATGAATGAACAAAAAAGAACCACTTGGTTACATCTCTGTAAATTTTATACTTTGCATGTACAGTTACTGTATACAGTATTCTTGTTGGCAAAATTTCTTATTCATTATGTAGTTTTCCATGTAATTCAGGATACAGACCAGTTTTTTTCTTTTATGCACACTGGCCATCTCCCACCAAGGCAGGGTGACCCCAAAAAAAAAAAAAATGCTTTCATAGTTTTTCTTTTTACATTTAGTAATTTATACACAAGAACGTTAATGTTACTAGCCTTTGGTCTCGGCATTTCACTCGCCTCTTATGGCATGCTTGGCTTAGAGGAAGGATTCTTCTTCACTTCCCCATGGAAAAGCTTTATTTTTATCCTGAATTTTTAACACGTTTAGTTTGTAGTATGTATACTATATTACATTACTTTTTTTTTTTTCTCAAGGAAGGTGCGTTGATGCTGGTAAAGGGCTGTTTGATTCAAGGAATTTACACTGTTTTTCCATTTCTCTCATTACTTATGATTATCCTTCCCATTAACCCCTATACTTTATGACTTTTCAGATTGATCATTTTCATAATTATAATTTTTTTCACTTTTATAGTTTATTAATTTTTTTATTAACACATCAGCCATCTCCCACCAAGGCAGAGTAGCCTGAAAAATAAAAGCTTTTATCATTAACTCCATCACTGTCTTGCCAGAGGTGCACTTGCACTACAGTTATAAAACTGCATCATTAACACCCCTCCTTCAGAGTGCAGGCATTGTACTTCCCATCTCCAGGGCTCCAGTCCAGCCTATGTTTCCCTGAATTCTTTCATAAATGTTAACTTGCTCACACTGCAACAGCATTTCAAGTCCTAAAATCCATTTGCCTCCATTCGCTATCTAACACGCTCACACATGCTTGTTGGAAGTCCAAGCCCCTCGCCCACAAAACCTCCTTTACTCTCTCTCCCTCCAACTTTCCCCAATAGATTTATACCGTCTCCAAATCATTCTAGTTTGTTCCATTCTCTCCGTATGACCAAACCGCCTCAACAGCCCCTGTGCAGCCCCCTGACTAATACTTTTATTAACTCTGCACCTTCTCCTAATTTCCACACTACGAATTCTCTGCATAATATTTACACCACACGTTGCCCTGAGACATGGCATTTCCACTGCCTCCAGCTGCCTCCTTGCTGCAGCATTTACAACTCGTGCTTCACACCCATACAAGTGTGTTGGTACTATACTATACTCTCGTACATTCCCTTCCATGCCTCCATGGATAATGTTTTGTCTCCACAGATACCTCAACGCACCACTCGCCTTCTCTCCTCCCTCAATTCTGTGGTTTACCTCATCATTCATAAACCCATCCACTGACAAGTCAATTCCCATATATCTGAACACATTTACTTCTTTCGTACTCTCTCCCCCCAATGTGATATCCAATTATTCTTCATCTAAATTGTTTGATACCCTCATCACCTTATTCGTTTCTATATTCACTTTCAACTTTCTACCTTTATGCACCCTCCCACACTTGTCCACTAATCTTTGCAACTTTTCTTTAGAATCCCCCAAAAGCACAGTATCATCAGCAAAAAGTAACTGTAATCTCCAATAATTCCCCTGGTGGTTAACGCTCTCGCTTCACACGGTGAGGGCCTGGGTTCGATTCCCAGCCAGAGTAGAAACATTGGACGTGTTTCTTTCCACCTGTTGTCTATGTTCCCCATCAGTAAAATGGGTACCTGGGTGTTAGTCGACTGGTGTGGGTCGCATCCTGGGACACTGACCTAAGGAGGCCTGGTCACAGACCGGGCCGCGGGGGCGTTGACCCCCGGAACTCTCTCCAGATAAACTCTCCAGATAATGATTCCCCATAATTTAATACCACCCTTCTCCCCTACACACTAGCATTTATTTCTTTTACAATCCTATCTATAAATATATTGAACAACTATGGTGACATTACACATTCCTGTCTAAGACCTACTTTTACTTGGAAGTAATCTCCCTCTCTTCTTCACACCCTAACCTGAGCCTCGTTATCCTCATAAAAACTCTGTACCGCATTTAGTAACTTACTACTTATTCCATGCACTTGCAACATCTGTCACATTGCTCCCCTGTCCACTCTATCATCTCTTTCTCTTTTGTCACCTTTGCCTTTATAAAAACAAATGATCTATGCATACTCTGCTAATCCTGAGGTATCTTACCCTTTTCCATGCATTTATTAAATAAAAGCACCAGCCACTCCAAAGCTATATCCCCACCTGATTTTAACATTTCTATCTTAATCCCGTCAATCCCAGGTGCCTTAATCACACTCATGCTACCCACTACCATACTCAAAACTGGCTCTTCCTCACTCCTACAAGATGTTATTCCTTCCTTCCCTATACTCAAAATCACACCTTCCCTTTCTTCATCCACATTTAACAATTCCTCAAAATATTACCTCCATCTTCCCAATACCTCTAACTCTCCATTTAATAACTTTCCTCTCCTATTTTAGCTATCAAATCCATTTGTTCCCTCGACTTCCTCTACTTATTAATCTCACTCCAAAACTTTTTCTTATTTTCAACAAATTTGTTGATTACATCTCACCCACTCTCTCATTTGCTATCTTTTTACATTGCTTCACCACTCTCTTAAACTCTCTTTTTCTCTCCATATACTCCTCCCTTCTAGCATCACTTCTGCTTTGTAAAAACCTCTCATGTGCTAGCTTTTTCTCTTGCTACTCTTTACGTCATCATTCTCCAGTTCCTCTTTTTCCCTCCCACACCCACTTTTCTATAACTAACAAACTTCTGAGGAACTCGACACTACATTCTTAACCTGTTAACTGTCCAAACGTAGATCTACGTTCTCTTGCCCAGTGCTCCGAATATTTTGAAAAAAAAAAAAAAATTTTTTTTATAGAAATAAAAACACATTTTTCTGTGACATAGGGTAAAAAAAAAAATTTAGGGTCAGTACTTACCGAGATATGAGCTCGCGAAGTTGGCACTTGGTGCTCACCTGACGGCAGCATAGAGTCCTGCCGCTTGCAGAAGTGTTTTCGATGTACCTTTTTTTTTTTCTCACTTTTATGTTATTTTATATAATTTTTATGTTCTGATAATTACAATTTATAGTCCTTCTTGTGATCTGATAACCAATCTTTGTTCTGACACTAATATTAAGTACTAAAATTGTACTCAAATTGTCACAAACACAGTGACAGGTGAACATTTACACCTGCCTTAGTCATTTACTATTGTTTAGGAATATATACAAAGTATTTATAGGTCCCAGCAATGTTTAGGATTTGCAGGAGTATATTATAATAATAATAATAAGTTCCCTTACACATTCATCTGAGTTTTCTTTGATTTTATCTTAATAGTTCTTGGTCTTATTACTTTTCCTTTTATATCCATGGGGAAGTGGAATAAGAATCTTTCCTCCGTAAGCCATGCGTGTTGTAAAAGTCAACTAAAATGCCGGGAACAATGGGCTAGTAACCCCTTTTCCTGTAAAGATTACTAAAAAGAATAAGAAGAAGAAAATTGTCAAAGTGGGAAGTCTGAATGTGCGTGGATGTTGTGCAAATGATAAGAGAGATGATTGTGGATGTTATGAATGAGAAGAAACTGGATGTCCTGGCTTTAAGTGAAACAAAGCTGAAGGGGATGGGAGAGTTTCAATGGAGAGGAATAAATGGGATTAGGTCAGGGGTTTCAAATAGAGTTAGAGCTAAAGAAGGAGTAGCAAAAATGTTGAAGGATAAGCTATGGCAGGAAAAGAGGGACTACAAATGCATAAATTCAAGGATTATGTGGAGTAAAATAAAGATTGGATGTGAAAAGTGGGTTATAGTAAGCGTGTATGCACCTGGAGAAGAGAGAAGTGTAGAGGAGAGAGAGAGATTCTGGGAAATGTTGAGTGAATGCGTGGGGAGTTTTGAATCAAGTGTGAGAGTAATGGTGGTTGGGGATTTCAATGCTAAAGTGGGTAAAAATGTTATGGAGGGAGTAGTAGGTAAATTTGGGGTGCCAGGGGTAAATGTAAATGGGGAGCCTTTAATTGAGCTATGTGTAGAAAGAAATTTGGTAATAAGTAATACATATTTTATGAAAAAGAGGATAAATAAATATACAAGGTATGATGTAGCACGTAATGAAAGTAGTTTGTTAGATTATGTATTGGTGGATAAAAGGTTGATGGGTAGGCTCCAGGATGTACATGTTTATAGAGGGGCAACTGATATATCAGATCATTATTTAGTTGTAGCTACAGTTAGAGTAAGAGGTAGATGGGAAAAGAGGAAGGTGGCAACAACAAGTAAGAGGGAAAGAAGGGAATGTATGAAAGTATAGTAGTACCAACACTCTTATATGGATGTGAAGCTTGGGTGGTAAATGCAGCAGCGAGGAGACGGTTGGAGGCAGTGGAGATGTCCTGTCTAAGGGCAATGTGTGGTATAAATATTATGCAGAAAATTCGGAGTGTGGAAATTAGGAGAAGGTGAGGAGTTAATAAAAGCATTAGTCAGAGTGCAGAAGAGGGGTTGTTGAGGTGGTTTGGTCATTTAGAGAGAATGGATCAAAGTAGAATGACATGGAAAGCATATAAATCTATAGGGGAAGGAAAGAGGGGTAGGGGTCATCCTCGAAAGGGTTGGAAAGAGGGGGTAAAGGAGGTTTTGTGGGCGAGGGGCTTGGACTTCCAGCAAGCGTGCATGAGCGTGTTAGATAGGAGTGAATGGAGACGAATGATACTTGGGACCTGACGATCTGTTGGAGTGTGAGCAGGGTAATATTTAGTGAAGGGATTCAGGGAAACCGGTATTTTCATATAGTCGGACTTGAGTCCTGGAAATGGGAAGTACAATGCCTGCACTTTAAAGGAGGGGTT